AGAGATCCGAGACTCGGTGCACTCCAACCAACTGGCGTGCTGCAACTGTATGGACCCCACTTCGTGAAATGTTTGCACAAAGGGCTCTTGTTGATTTGCTGGCCCGCCTTCACTTAGGGCGGGCATGAGGCTTGCTGGGGCCTTAGCCCAGAACATGTACATCACGGCAAGGCCCCTTCTTGAGGGCTCAATCCTCACACTCCATCCCCCTTAGCTTCGAAAGTCCGCTGAGATGCTTACTTCGCAGGTGCTTTCCCTGTGAGCATCCTTTCATATTCTGCCACTCAGTTCCTCCTTGGTAAACCACCGATCTTCTTTTGGATCCGTATGATGCCTGAATCTGACGCGATATTTTCTCTTGGGTTTAGGAGGTCTTCCTCTACCCAGTGGCTTTGGAATAGGCAGGTCTCTGTGATCCACAATGTCGTCGATGTCCACTTGACCATCCATGGTTGGGGGAAGCATCGACCTCCTTGAAGGGAATTGATTTGTCTCAGCGAAAGGCGCAAGCTTTGAGGCATGAAAGACAGGGTGAGTGCGTAAGTGACCAAGGATGCGGATAACATAGGTAGGACCATCCATCTCATCCCCAACTATATCCAAGACTTCCCATGGACCAAAGTACTAAGGCATTAGTTTGCGAGAGATCCTGAATTCTTGTCCTAGCTCACTAGCCTTGACCCAGACACGTTCCCCTACCTGAAATGAGGACCGCCGACGGTGTTTGTTCTCAGAAGCAATCATTGCTTGCTGAGATTTCCTGATGTGCTCGATAGCTTGCTGCAGCAACTTCTCATATTGCACACCATACTCAAGTGTGCCCGGAGTTGCAGAGGATCGGTTTTCAGGTAGGAGGAAGTCTAGAGCTGATTTAGGCTTCCATCCCAAGTGCAGCTGATTAGGACTGACGCCGGTACTGTTGTGTACAGCGTTGTTGTACAGGCTGGCGATGAGAGGCAACTTCTCATCCCAGTCATCCTGGTTGGGCTTGATGTAATGCCTTAGCAAGTGTTGTACAACTCGGTTCATCTGTTCGGCTTGTCCGTTGGCTTCGGGATGATTCCCTTAAGTCATTTGAAGTTGATTGCCCATCTGCTCAGCAGTCTTCTTCCACAGCTCACTTGTGAATCGGACATCTCTGTTGCGAACAATTGACTTTGGTAGTCCAAAATCACGTACCCAGTTGTCCATAAACAACTTGATGACGTGGTCAGTCCTTGCTGTCTCTGGCATGGCAATTAGTCTAGCGTATTTGGTGAATCGATCGATGATGACGAAGATGTGCCTCTTGCCACTCCTACTGGTCACCAGGGTATCCATGAAGTCCATGGAAACACTCTGTCCTGAACCAGCGGGGATAGGTAAGGGTTTCAGCAACCCAAGCGGTGCTTGAGTTCGCGGCTTGTCCCGCTGACAGACCTGACAGGTCTCTACATACTTCTTTGCATCATCTAGCATTCCAGGCCACCAAAATCGCTGTACTAGATTGGCACTTGTCTTTTTGTAGCCGAAGTGTCGTGTTGCGTCATGACATTCTCCTAGAAATAAACTACACAAACTCTCACTTGATGGAACTACTAACCTTTTACACCCGGCCTTATCAAGAAAGAGTAACTCATCCACCATCACAAACTCATTCTCTGTGGCCTTGTCTTTTGCGTGAAGTTTGCGGATGATGTCCATCATGACAGGATCTTCCTGATAGGCTCCCACCAATGATTGAGTTACTTCCTCAGATACACATAACTCAGAAACTAGCGCCCCTAGGTAGTCTGCTCTACGAGATAGCGCATCTGCAACCTTGTTGTACTCTCCCTTCAGATACTCAAGCTTGAAGTCGTACTGATCTATGACCTCAATCCAGCGCTTGAGTGCATCAGAAAGAGCCGGTCGAGTCTTGATCCATTTGAGGGTTTGATGGCCAGTTCTCAAGTAGAAGAACCGTCCCAACAGGAAATGCCTCCAATGGACTAGGGCTTTGTAAAGAGCATAGAGTTCTCTTTCATAGGTGGAGTTTGCCAGTTTCTTCGATGGCATCTTCTTGCTCATGTACTCTATCGGTCTCAACTTTTTCCCATCATGTTGAGCCAGCACTGCGCCAATGTCGTATTGGCTTGTGTCAGTGGTTACAATGAATGGCTTTTGAGGATCGGGCACCATGAGAACTTCATGATTCATGAGTGCATGCTTCAATCTTTTGAAGGCAGCCCCGCACTCATCACTCCAGTCCCACGGCGTGTCAAGTCGAGTTAGATCCGTCAAAGGAGAGGTGACTGTAGAATAGTTCTTTACTAAGTTCCTACAGTAGCCGCACATTCCTAAGCAAGATCTGACCTCAGTAACTATCTGAGGTCATGGCCAGTCCCTAATACTAGCCACCTTCCGCGGATACTTCAAGATCTAACTTCCGGCCTAATACCTTCCGCGGATACTTCATGACCCAAGTATAAGATCTTAGTGCGTCCAAACTCACACTTCTCAAGGTTGACCTTATACTTGTGCTGTCGCAAGAGTGAAAGTACAGTCTCAACGTGCTGTGCATGCTCCTCGACAGACTTACTAAAGATAAGAATATGGTCTAGGTAGACAACGACAAACTTATCTAAGTGGTCATGGAAGATCCTATTCATGGCATGCTGGAATGTACCCGGCGCATTGCAAAGGCCAAAGGGCATCACTACAAACTCATACAGACCGTACCTGGTCTGAAAAGCAGTCTTGTGTTGATCCTCGGGTATTATTGCGATCTGATGATAGCCGGACTTTAAATCTATCTTACTATACTACTTACATCCCTGCACCCTATCCAATAGGTCGTCTATGTGAGGTAGAGGTTTTGCGTTCTTTACTGTGATGGCATTGAGGCCTCTATAATCAATGCACATCCTCAATGTACCCCCCTTCTTCGGTACAAATAGCACTGGAGATCCGTAGGGGGAAGTACTCGGCCAGATCCATCCCTTCTCTGTCAGCTCTTTCAGTTGTCGCCGACTTTCATCCAACTCGGCCGGAGCCATCCTATAGATCCTTCCCTTTGGGGTTTAACTCCCTGGAATGATTTCTATGGCATGGACAACCTCCCTTTCTACGACTCATGTAGGCTCCGTGAACAGATCAGGGAACTTAGCAACGACGTGTTCTATCTCTGGGGGTGTTTTAACGGCCGCCCCTTTCTCAGAGACATACACTAGGTACATACCCTCCTCTTGGTTCTGTTTATAATAATTCTAGAACGCTGATGCACACAAGCAGCCATAGGTATCGATTATACTACTGGGTTTGAACTTAGTCAGTCTAACTGTTCTTCCATCAGGCAACTTATGCTTCAGCACTTTCTTGTCCCAGTCAAACTGGGGCTTGTCAACCTCTAGGTAGTACATTCCGAACAGCATATCAAACGGTAAGTCGTCGCTAACCAGGAACGAAATCTTGTGATTAAGTTCCCCTCCTCAATAGGAGAAGGTGCAGACTACATCCTTTATATAGTCTGTGACAATCATGCGCTCCTTGTTGGCCAGTAGATGCTACTGGTCTACTAAGGTGCTGTACCCGGTCCTTTAGGTGCAGCCTTTCCAAACAGTCGCGACTTATGTAGTTTCGCGTGGAGCCGATGTCTATGAAGGCACCACATTAGCGGCCTCCTACATCAACTTCCACAACGAAGTGTTCCCCTCTAGGACCTTTCCTTAGTGCCACCCAAGATTCACGAGGGTCCTTACTTGACCACTCACTTTCCAAATCTTCTAAGGCTTCAGGCACATCCAACGTACAGAGCATGGTTTGGTCTGGATGAGTCTGCAGGGTGACTAAAGAATCATTAGCTATGGCCTGCTCATGAAGTGGGGAGGGTATCTGGCCCACTTCAYCTTGAGTAGAAGCAGCTAAAACTTCCACCGGCCTTACGTGTTTCCCGAGCTAGAAGCCTGGGAAGAAGGTGCCCCCATCTTAGGAGGTATCTTCTGCGTGACCTTTGCTTTCTTGCACTTGTACTGTGTGTGTCCGTATTCTCCACAGTTGATGCAAGCACCACGCACTCTACGGTCCCGCCACACTTCCTGATCAAGACCTGCCTTGATCCAATCAGCAACTTTGGTCTGATTGGAGGCGGCCTGCCCTTGATTCTTTTGATGGCCCTTCCCTCTGCCACCAACCTTAGTCTTAACTACTGCGGCGAGGGTGCTACCGTCAACGATCTCCTCGCCGTCGTACTCTGTATAGTCCAACAGGTTTGTGAGCTCTTCGATCTCTGTTTGAGTCCCATCGGACTCAACCATCATCAATTTGCTCCCCTTCTTCTTCCATTCCTGTGGACTCTTCTTCTTCCTTGTGTCAACTGAAGTCGGTTGAGCACTTCCTAGAGTGGCCTCTAAATCTAAGGCTTTTCTAGACAAGGTCTCAAATGAGTGATACTCAAGGCGAGCCTCGTTGGCCAGCAAATTTCTGAGATTCTCTGGGAGACATCTCACAAACGTGGTCAACAAGAACTGGTCATTGTAGTTTATGCCGGGAACGACTATGAGGCTTTCTACGGTAGTCGTAAGCTCTCTGACTGACTTGAACTTTCTTTGGTCTAGTCTGTGCATCGCATCAGTGGCAATTTGTGCCTGCTGCGGATTGTGCCAACGAGCTTCTACCATTTCTAAGAACTAGTCTAACGTAATGGTCTTAGCCCAGTCCGCCATGCATCGTCCGTACCCGGCCTTTGAAACTAAACCATCCAGCCATTTGGCTGCCTTACTCTCAAGGTAAGATGCAACAGTAATCACCTCCTCCTCCTGCAAAGTCCTCTTCGCCTTTACCCAAACTGGAACCGTTCTCAACCATGTGTTGAGTTCCTCGTCCTTCGTCTCTCCGGAGAAGGCAAGGGGCGGTTTCATAGGGGTCTTTGGGTACCATTGACCTTGCTGCTGTCCCTGTTGAGGAACAGGTTGTTGCGGTGATGGTGTAGCAACCACCGCTGACCCAGAAGAAGAAGAAGCAACAGTMTGTGCGGCTGCTGCAGACGTACCACTTGGTTGTGTGCCAGCTTGTACCGGGAAGGGGCCTGACATCGCCGTTAACGGCAACGGCGACTGTGCTGCTGGCCGGAATCCTGACCTTTGCAAAAGGTCCAAGATCTGGTCTAAAGAGTTCTGCATGAAGTCTAACCTGSTGTCCACATGAGCATGCAGCGACAGCATGCTGTTCTTCAATATTTTCACTTGGTCAGTCATGGTTGACTCATCCAATCCCTCTAAAGCAGCTTTGTCTGCCTCTAAAGTATCAAGCCTGGCTGTTCTGTTTTTAATCTCTCTTTCTCTATCGCTAGCTTGCTTCAGTTCCATCTCTAACCGCCCGCGGATCCTTTCGACCTGTTGGAGCTCTAGAAGCTCCCTACCGCATGGGGTCAATGGGCTTAACCGCGAGCCCGCCATTTGACTTGTGGACTGACTAGAACCTACTGACCCGGAAGTACCTGCGGGCCCAGAGGGCATTCCCAACTGGGTCCCTGACGAGGATGCAGCAGAGGCTGCGCCGTTAGCCATTGCTGTTGCTCTGGCTGCTGCTGCCTGTTCTCTAGCTGCTAAGTTTGCTGCTGCCCTCGCTGCTGCAAGAGCATGGGCTCTACGTTCGGCACAAAGCCGTGCTTCGTCTCCCGGTTGTAGGGTCTGGAACACGTGCGGGACCTCCCGAACGTGTAAGTCTCACGTCGTCAACTCTATCCTCATCGGTGTCTGACCCACTCATCAGCTAGGCAAACACTATCTGCACTACAACCCCTTAGTGGAGTCCTACCACAGCATGTGTCTGACCGACACCTAATTTTCTAAAAATAATTGTGTCCGGCAGGTCCCCTACTTTACCGATCAAGTGGCAGCCTACAACATTCACAAAAGACTGTCAACATAGTTTAGTTCTACTGTGATTARTTCACTTACAGCAGMATTAGATARAACTGGYTATGGTAGTATACAACMGTCCTACYCTAATCTGTCTGTGAGGTGTTAGCAGCTGTCAACCAACTARTCAATAATAAAACAAGACTATGTTGCAGATGTATGAGTAGTGGGTATGGTTGTGTTTCCAGTTGAGCACCAATTAGAACCTACCCTCCCCTCAATCCAACATACCGGAAAGCGTCATTGAGCAGCAGTGTCTTTGTGTGTATTGTCGGCCCACCCCTGTGCCCCAAGTCATTGCCGAGCAAGCCAACCAGTCCACTCTTATTTACCCTCGTACGGAATGAGCCTTACACCCGGTTGATCTGGCTGATCAGGAGGAATTTTAGGAGAGCCCCCAACTCCTCAGGAATTATTTAACGTCGCAGTCAGGACGACGATCACAGCCAGATTCAATCTGAGTCCCCAACCAGAAATGTTTATAGACGGTCTGGTAAGCGTCTCATAAAACGCTGGCACACCCGGCACAACTTCTTTAGCGCAGCAAAGTGCCAAAATGGACAGCAGCCATCGCATGCGTGACCTACTCCCATTGGGTTGGCATGGTGACCGTGACCCAGTGCGTCGACCAGGGCCCTTCAGAGGCACCGCCCTTTCTCCTTCCAGATGCTTCCGGGAAGATTGTCGTCTCTCAAGGTAGCGCGCACACGACACCTCACCAAAAGAGAGGACTCTCAAGTTGGACTCACTTCCTCGCGGTAAGAAGAGATTGAGAGAGTAGATAAGGTAAGGGAACAACGTACCTGGAGATAGCAGCCCCCAACCACAGATTTCTCACCAATTGAGCTGAGTGTGCATTTGATGACCGGTCGTAGCCTCGGTACCACCCACAACGCAATGCAGTGCCACCTCAGCTTAATGCCACATTAGCATTCTCTCATCACCAATCATACATTCCGCTGTAACCACGGCAACCAATGCCGTATAGCCTTCCGGCGCACACCTCTCTACCCAGGTAGTGCGCCTAATATTGGCCTGACGTCACAAGAACCAACTGCGAAGAAGCATCATCAACGCACCAAGTCTGTATAACGCCAGCGCACCAAGGTAAGTGGCGAATCAAACCAGCTCCGATACCAAAATGCAAGGAACATGAATGTGGACGAAGCACGGAAATCCAGATTGCAAAATCATACTGAAGTCCAAGTAGTCAAAGCAAGAGCAGATAGCACAATGGAACCGAGTAACCATCCATTTGAGAACGATACAGAAGAATCGTGAGTCAATGTCCAAGCCCAATCGGGCAACACCAACAGCATAACCCAATGTAGCTCTCTCTCTTGAATGGCGCCTGGCGCCCTACCTACTCTACAGCCTAACACTACTCTACAGCCTAACACTACAACTACAGCATGAAAGCAACCAGACAACTTGACGACCAGCGAGTGATGATGTCAACATCAATGCCGACTTCCCCTCTCCACCAGGTACGTCTCTCTCTTCTCCCTCACTCTCCCTTGTTATCCCRCACAGCGCCCTTCACCTCCGAARAACCACCTTCGCCCTTCCTCCTCTGCGCCCACCGGCAGCCCGGCTATGACCGCCAGCGCCCTGCGCCTAGGCAGCGCTCTACCGCTTAGCGCTAGCCTGCTTCTCCCAGCCGCAGCGCAAGTGCAGCGCTACAATGCAGCAGCGTGCCCGCAATGYCTGCATTGGCCAAGATCCATGCCCACTYGCCCTGCTTGCCTATATGCCAGTGTTGCGTGTGGGCGGCCTCCCTTCAGCCTGCGCCTGGGCCCCAGTACCTGAACCCAGGCCCGATGCAGTTGGGGCCCGGGAGATGCAGTTGCGCCTCTTTCATCAAGGCCTGCGGCCAGATTCAGATAGTGGGCCGGTTTCCCATTGGCATTTTCGGCCTCTATATCCAGCGTGCATTGTCAGCCTCACGTTTATGTGCCCAGGGCCTAACCAACTCAGGGGCCCTGGGATTTCCGCATTTGCAGAGATCCGAGACTCGGTGCACTCCAACCAATTGGCGTGCTGCAACTGTATGGACCCCACTTCGTGAAATGTTTGCACAGAGGGCTCTTGTTCATTTGCTGGCCCGCCTTCACTTAGGGCGGGCACGAGGCTTGSTGGGGCCTTAGCCCAGAACATGTACATCACGGCAAGGCCCCTTCTTGAGGGCTCAATCCTCACATAGTCCTTAATACTTTGTAACTTCTGTTAATGTGTTCTAGGCAAGTGAATCAGAATTTTGCTTTCAATTCTTGTTCAATTGAGGATATAAGGGCAAAGGAGACTCTTGCTGCATCTATGCTTTCTGCTATTGTGTAAATTCAGGTATTTTTCCTCTCTCTATCTCTGTACGAACACCTCTCCTTTGCACAGTTTAATGAATGTGGCAAATCTACTTTCCTTTCAAAGAAAACAAAAAAAAGGATTCCCCTGTATGATCAGGCTTTATGTAGTAGCAACTGTGGCAGCTATGCTGTGGCCTGAAAGAGCGTTGCATGTCTTACAGGGATCTCAACTGCAGACATCCTGAGCACCATGAGAGTGTTTCAGGAAACCCGCAAGACCATGGATGCGAAGGTGATCTCCTTAATCGAAGATGCTGTCACTGTGTCACCGGTAAGGTTTTTCTTCATCCAAAGGAAAAGAGCTTGGAAAATGAGCTGCTTCTTTTCTGGTCGTTTTTTCTTTTCTTTTTTCGTTTTCTACGATGCTGCTGCGTCTGTTGTACTTCCAACCTGGCTGAGGGAGGGAGGAGGTCAGGCAGAGGTGCGGCAGAGGAGGTCAGACGGAGGAAGGAAGGAGGTTGGACAAAGGAGGTGGGGTGAAGGAGGTGGGGCAAGGGAGGTCGGGCGGAGCAGGTCAGGCGAGGGAGGGGAGGAGGTCGAGTGGAGGGGGGACGACGCCAGGTGAAGAAGGAAGGATGGAGGAGGAGGTCGCAACTACTCTCTCTCTCTCTCTCTCTCTCTCTCTCTCTCTCTCTCTCTCTCTCTCTCTCTCTCTCTTCCCCCCTCAAAAGAAAAAAAATCCTTTCCCCCTATTTAACTTCGCATGCTCTTTTGCAAGGAAAATGAGCAATAACGGAATGACAGCTCTCGGATTGCAAAATCACATTGTAAGCCAGGAAGTCCGACACTGTGCAGAAAGCAGAATTGCACCGATATTACACCTGTGGAGATCTAAAACACTGAATCCGAGTGTCAATGAGAGCATACTCTCGCCATCACCAGCATAAATATCCAGAGCCCTTCTTCCTACTTGGCACTCGGTGCCCAGACTACTATCACGCAGCTACTACCAGCCTACGAATTGACAATGCACCTGTTGTAATTACCCGTCATAACACAGACTGAGAACACTGCTGATTTCTGAAGTTCTGCTGATGGAATGGATGCATTGCTGAGATTCCCGCATTCTGCTGTGTTTTCTAAGTTTGTCTGTGTGTGCGTGCTTGTGACCTGCGTGCCTGTCTGAGTGCTTGTCGATATGAGTGTGTGTGTGACCCGCAAGGGTACTTGTTTGTTTGGCAGGCCCATAGGGCCGGTACTTACCTGTGGTCGTGGCATTGAGGGTTGTAGCAGGGAAAAACACTCAAGTGGCGAAGCTAGCGGCCCCGCAGCCCTTGGGATAGCGGAAAAACACTCAAGTCGGCAGGTAGGCCGAAACTGCAGCCCACTGCAGTTGGCGTGAAGGGGTACCGGAGGCCGAGCAGAAGTAGACAAAGTTGGCATTTTTAGAGTCCAGTAGCGGTAGGGTAGGTCTAGGCGGGTACCAGTCCAACCAGTCTGAGTCTAGAGCCTGTACGGGTAATATCAGGGTCCGCAATGATGTTTCCCTCCGAAACGGAGGAAGTACCGGTTGCTTGGAGAGGCCGAGCGGCCTGGAAGTCACCGCCCAGGAGGCAAGCAGGCCGCTATATCAAGAGGCCGGGCGGAGAGCCCAGCCTCATTCTTCAGTGTGCAAGTTTGGCGACACGCTGCTGAAGCGCTGGCTGGAGTGGTGCTGGGTACTACAGCGCTGCTGGGAGGAAGAAGCCGGGAGCTTCCACCTTGGCTATGGTGGAGCTCTAGGAGGGAGAAGGGGACCAAGGAGGAGTGGCGAGGCACTTACTGGCTATGGTAGACACCATCTTCATCTCCTTGCTAGGCGCTGCATCAGGAAGGCCCCAGTGGGGGTAGTGCCGCATCAAGGAAACTCGGGACAGAGTCAGGCATGGTGGCTGAGTGGGCAGCGGCATAGCTGCTTGGTGATGACCTTGAAGTGGGGCAGCGGCATAGCTGCTTTGGGTTGTCCTTTGGACAGGAGGCTGAAGCCTCAATAGTCCGCCATGCAGTAAACTGCGTTCATCAGCGGCCTGGGCGCTGTAACCAAGGCCCAGGCCCAGCGAGCAGTACGACTACGCGCTGCTCAGCCTCAGGCCGCTGCAGATGCTGTGTGACCAGGCACAGCAGGAAATTCAAAGGTCAAAGCCAACTGTCGGTCCAGGTACCTCGCCCAGGCCTTTGGTCGTGTGCATTGACTTGTATGTGTGCAGGTACCCAGTCAAACTGGTGGACCAAGGAGGATACAGTTTCAACTCAATCCAGGCCGTCGACGACAATCTGATCTCGGCCATTGCTGACTTGAGGCTGGGGTCCAGACCCCTGCCGTCAACACTACATATTGAGTTGACTACCTGGCTTTGACATCTGGACTCTCGTCTGGAGTCTATACTGACTCGACGTTCTTGTGTCATGCTGTCTTGCTGGCGAGACGCAGCTGGGAGGACTTGACGACCGGCGCTCGTCGCTGGTTCGTGGCTTGAGTGTGCTGTGCGACCAGCATGCTGGCTGGCACACTACTGTCTGAGGGGTTGTCGACGTGGGAGATGCCACATGTCATCTTCGTGGCCTCTGCCACGTAGGACTGCTGCTGAGGTGGAAGGCGCTGGGCGCCTGTATTGATGTTCTGCTTGACAAGTACTCGGAAGGAGGATTCAGGACTGTGGTTGGGGTCGTGATACGTACCTGGTGTCTTCAACTTCGTCGTCACGCTGCTGCTTGATGACTGGTCTGCTGGTGCCACGTGGCACTGTTGGTTTACATTGTCTGGACGTCTGGATCTCTGATTGAGACACGATTATGTTGCCAGGAGGAGGAAGTGCCCGAAGAGGAAGTGGGCTGTAGGGAGGAGACTCTTCCACCCTCTCAAAGTCTATTCTCCCTCCTCCCTCTCCTGTCTCTTATACACATCTAGATGTGTATAAGAGACAGGTCTGGACGTCTGGATCTCTGATTGAGACACGATTATGTTGCCAGGAGGAGGAAGTGCCCGAAGAGGAAGTGGGCTGTAGGGAGGAGACTCTTCCACCCTCTCAAAGTCTATTCTCCCTCCTCCCTCTCTCGTCTGTGTATGTATTCTCTCTCATTTTGGGATCATTATTATTATGATTTATCAGCAGCGTTCGTCTACTTTGTCTTTGCGAGTGACAACTGATTATCACGACTGGGCACATTGCAATTTGGTATCAGAGCTCTACTTTCGACATTGTCTACTACGGCGCTCGCGTCTCTCCGACGCGATTGGTTAAGAGCGCGCCATTTTCTCTCCACGTTCGCGTGCACAGGTAAGTAGCGGGATGCTCTCGCTTCGCGACATTATTGTCGCGCGTGTTTATTAACACGCTGTCTAGACATCGAGCCCGACGACGCGCGTGATGGACATGGTGATGAAGGGCAGGATATTGACTGCCGTTGGACTTTGATGCTGACGTGGCACTTCCACGTCCGCGTGGGATATTGAGTGGGAACTTCTTGTTATGTGCTGATGATATCTCGCCGACGAAACAGAGTTGCCGCATTGCTATTTCGCCARCCAGAGACGAGTGGAGCTAATTGATTGGCTATTTGAGTACTCGCTGGCCTTGGCGAGATCAAGTGCTGACGTGGCAGGCTTTGATTGGATTTGTGATGCGGCGAGCAGACTTGTGAAGCGCAGCATTGTGGGAGTTCACTTTCACAAATGGATCCGGGTAACAAGAGAAAGAGCGGCCAGCATTCATTGCTGAAGCCACCCCCCCACGATCTTTGATTGGTTCGAAGTGTTGACTTGGCAAAAGCTGAGTTGGCATACCGGGGGGTTTGGCCGAAGCAGGCACGACGTGCCTCGGGAAACGATTGATGCATTCCGACGCTGGGAGCGGCACGAGCGACAAACTTTGGCTTGTGGTGCTTGATTGCTGTCGGGGTGATTAGAGTGCATGCTGAAGTGGCTTTGTGGGGAAGACTGACGTTGATTGGTTGTGTTGTCAGTACTTACCTGTTGTCTGGCTGTGCGTGCACACGTACCTGTGAATGCTAACGACCTTGGCCTGCTAAGATTACCTGGAAGACAAGTCACCACACGAATAAGAGAAAACGAAATTAGAACAGCATATAAAAAAGAAAACAATCAAGAGAATAAGTAATTATTTTTATTTTATTTATTTTCTTGTTAATTCTCTGCTTGTACTGACGTTGAGTGGCTGTTCAGCCATCAAATAATATTGTCTGTTTTCTTTTATTGAGTAAGAATTGGCCTGTTAGGTTTCCTGTTGATGTTGATCATGGCACCGATTGCTGAGCACATGCGTCAGTCTATTCTGACCCGGTGGGTGCCTCGTTTGTTCGGACCTGGGCAAGTGCCTTATGCGGTGGGAGCAAGTAGCTCCTCGACYGAGCCGCGTACACGTGCCCAGATCGAAGCACGAAGAAGTGAACTGGGAGAGCTTCTCTCCCAATTGCTGGTAGATATGGAGTTTGCTGTCCCTGCTGCAAGAGAACACATCCGGGGTAAATTTGACCTTGATGCGATCTCTGATCGTTTGGCCAAAGCTACCACGGGTGTGGAGATGATAGCAGCAGCGACTGAAATCCAGATGGTTATTAGCCAGTGTCGTCAGATACTAGACCAATTTACCATCCAGCAGTTGGAAGAAATAGCTCAGCGAAAGGAGGGTGTGCCAGAAGTGAAAGTGGAAAGCATTGAAGAGAACATGCAACAGTTAAAGGAGACACTCGCGAAAGAAGAAAAGAAGCGGGAAGGACTGTTGCAAAGAAAAGAACAGGAAACTAGGTTGCAGCAGAGAATGGGTAGAGTTCAGCAGCACGTTTCTTTGGATGAGAAGGATGTCGCCCAGACGCTGGGGCAAATACTGACGTATCTGGCTTTCCTTGAGGAGAAATTGGACCAACAGCAGAATAGAATGGATGAATTGGCTGTTGGTCTCCACGTCATCACTAACATCGTTAAGGGAAAAGCCCCTTTGACTGAAAGTGAGGAAGAAAAAGGAAACGAGGATAAAAAAGATGACGTCAAGATTGATAAGTTGCGCATCGGCGGAATGAAAGACGGCGACGCATCCAAAAAGGAAACGAAAAAGGAACCAGAGAAGGAACCGGAGGAGAAACCCGACGGGAATGGTGATGGAAACGGGAATGGGAACGGGAACGGAAATGGGAATGGTGGTCCCAACGGTCCCACTCCCCCTCCTAAGGACAATGCCAAACCCGCAGATCCGACTAAGCCAAAGAAAAAAGAAAAGGTGAAGATGAAATTGTCTTTTACTTTTTCTAATAAGAAAGAAGAAAGCCTTCCACTCTGGATCGCAGAGATCCAGACCTATGTTGGGACCGCACCGGTAGAAGAAGAGTCGCAAGTTGCGTTTACCACTTCTTGTATGGGGGGTGAGGTGAAGCAATGGGTTGAGGCGGAAGCAAATGCCGTGGGGTTTGACGATATAGGTGAGTGGGCAAAGACTATGACCTTGAAGCAGTTCCTTGCAAAAGTCGAGGACCGTTTCTTGGACAAGACTACGGTCGATAAGGCCTTCGACCAACTCACCATGATAGGACAAAAGTCCTGGTCTTCAGTTGAGTCGTTGTTTCGTGAGGTTGACCGACTGTTGCAGGTTCCCGGTCTTAACCTGCAGGACTCTCAGGTCCTCTACATTTACTCGCGTGCATTGCCCGAACCGATCCGAGGGCACTTGGTCGCCAAGGCCAAGTTCGGTAAGTATAGTTACCGTCAGTTCCGCGACCTGGCGTTGCAGCGGGAACAAATGACTTCGCAAGTCAAAGGTTCCTATGCGGCTGCCGTAAAGAATGGAGGAGGAGGCAGTCGGGGAGGCATCGGCAAGCGGATTTTATGGCGTCAAAAGCGCCAAGATCACACCCTCGTCGTATTCGACGACGATACAATGGAGAAATGGCCATTGGAGAACGAGGGTGGTGGTGACAGCAGCAGTGACCCCGGAAAGGGGGAGGTCACCGCTGCGACGGTCAACAAGGGAGGACCGTCATCGAATACTAGACCGAAGGGGAAACCACGCTCCTTCCCATACCATCCTGGGATTGCGGTCGACAGACCATGGCTGAAGATGGGACTAACCCGGGAGGTATGGCAGGATAGAATGGATAATGCGCAGTGCCTCAAGTGTGGCACTGCGGGGCATGTCATTGCCTTTTGTCCATTGATTAGGAACCCAAAAGGGAGCAGCCCGTAGGAATAACATCTGTTCCTACAGAGTCGGAGGGTGCGATTACATGCGAGGCGCCTACGATCCCTTTCCACACTCCGACTCCCGTGGCAGAGGATGGAAACCCTTCAGCCCGTCGTTCAGACCACCCTACTCCTGTCTTATGCATGTCTCTGGACGACTCCCTTGACGAGCTGGGTAGCGTGCTAGTCGCGTTACGCAGTTCGTGGGCGAAGAAAGCCAAGTCTAAGGGTGAATTGTTGATTGCTGACTTGGTAGTTAATCACACACACGTGGGTGCAATGTTGGACCCTGGGTCCACACGATCTTACATGTCTGAACGTGCAATCCGCAAGTTGCATCTCGGCATGAAGATCCAGACTTTGTCTAAACCGATCACGTCTATGTTGGTGACAAAAGCATGATGACGGTAACGCAGTACGTCGATCGTGTTCGTTGTCAGTTCAGTACCAAGGATGGGAAGAAGATTTGGCATGAGCTTCCCTTCTTGATCGAGAAGAACATGCCGTTTGATATCATCTTGGGAATGGATTGGCACGAGGAAGCTGATCCCAAGATTGATTTCAAACAGAAAGAAGTAAGAATTAAGGATGAATCGTCTGAGTTACAACCGATTAAGTTGTATCATCGGTCAGGGTCTGCTTTTGTCTTGTCTTTTTGTTGTATGAGCTACCCTGCATTCCGATCGATGGTTGCAAAGAAGAAGTTAGAGGATGAGGTAGTAATGTTGTTAGTTAAAAAAGTAGGTGAGTCTTCAACTACCCATCCTCCTGGCATAGATGCACTCCTAACGGAGTTTGCCGATGTTCTGCCTGAACCAACCGGGGTCACTTCGCGTGCTATCGAGCACACGATCGAGATTGTGCCTGGTAGCAAGGTTCCCAAGGGCCCTATCTATCGCATGTCTCCAAGGGAACTTGAGGAACTTAAGAAACAACTGTCTGAGTTGACGGAGAAGGGATGGATTCGCCCTAGSTCCKCTCCTTATGGTGCACCTRTCTTGTTTGTGCCCAAAAAGGAAGGTGAGCTGCGCCTTTGCATCGACTACCGAGGGCTGAATGCCGTCACCGTTAAAAACGCCGAACCTTTGCCAAGGATCGACGATCTCTTGGATCAGTTGCAGGGTTGTCGASTCTTTAGCAARATCGACCTTAAGTYTGGGTACCACCAGATCGAGGTGGATCCCGYCGATCAGCATAAGACCGCGTTCCGTACGAGATATGGTCATTACGAGTTCATCGTGATGCCATTTGGTCTAACGAACGCACCTGCGACCTTCCAAAGGTCAATGAACGAGTTGTTTAGGCAATG